CAGGATGGCAAGAAATTTCTCCTAGGCTTTAAACAAGCCGGTGAGACAGCCGTTGGGGAACTCAGGTCAAGCACCTTCAGAGCCAGCTCTGCCTTGAGCTTCCTAATCGGAGGTGGCTATGACCCTGACAATCTCTACGTTGCTCTTGTGCGCGAGTCGGATAGGAAGACCCTTCTCAAGCAGACGGCGACCAACGACGAGGCTCTCATTCGCATCGTCTGGGACACGAGCAAGTGGCAGGGCCAGAAGGTGCATATCGTCGTGCATGACAGCAGCAAGTCAGAGTCCTGGGGCCACATCAACATTGACGACGTTCGTGTTGGCTGCCATGCTCTTGGAAAAGATAAGGATCTCTCCTTTAACATACTCGGACAGGCAAATCAAGCCCCTCGCGGCTCCTCTGCTTGCTCCTCCTATGCTGTAGACCCCACTAGACCTCATTACCACTATACACCCTTCCAAGGGTGGATCAACGACCCCGCTGGTCTGGTCGAGTTTCATGGGACTCATCACCTGTTTAGCCAATACTACCCCGATGCGCCGCTGTGGGGTCCTATGCATTGGGCCCATGCCACGAGTACTGATTCAGTTCACTGGCGTGAGCAGCCTGTTGCATTGTACCCTGCCAAAGTGAGCAACTCTAGTGACGATTCTGGCCGCTTTACTGGAAGTGCAGTCGTCGACAAGAAGAAGAACGAGTTGCGGCTTATTTTGACTGACTACATCAACCTTGCCTACCACCCTGACGCAGTTCAGGAGAGTGTAATCACGGCTACGAGCAAAGATGGGGTCAGGTTCAATCTGTCCAAGAAACCGATCATTTCCGGCCCTCCAAAAGGAGAAGATCCCTTCTTCCGAGACCCCAAGGTCTTTCGTGACCCAACCGACAACAACTGGAAAATGGCTGTTGGCGCCACCAACGGCAAGAGTGGCCAAGTACAGCTGTACGAATCCGATGACCTCGTGTCTTGGTCCCATGTCGGTATTCTCTATACTGGCGACGGCAGCACTGGAAAACTATGGGAGTGTCCCAACTTCTTCCCACTGGGCGACAAATGGGTTCTCTTTTATGGCGGAAATGGACTCGGTTGGTACGAGACTGGCACGTATAATGGAACGACGTTCACAAGCGAAAAGCGCGGACTGGTTGATGAGGGCCCTGCTAGTTACGCTATGCAGTGGTACAAGGATGAGTCAGGCCGCGATCTGGCGATTACCTGGATGGCAAATTGGCCTAGTCCCAAGTGGCCCAGTCGTGTGAACGGATGGGCTGGACAACAATCCATTACACGCGAGCTATTTATCCGCAAAGATGGTGGTTTGGGTCAACGTCCAATTGCGGAGCTGAAGAGTCTTGCATCTGGCCCGGCCAAGAAATTTGGAGCTACGAAGGTTACATCAAAAGGTTTCCATGTCGGAAGCTCCAAGAGCGCTAGACTGACCCTTGTCGCCGATCTCGCTTCGTCGGATGCTACCTCCTTTACCGTCTCGGTCTTTGAGTCTGCCGGTGAATCCGTACTGCTGACATTCGATAAAGGCGCTGGAAGTCTCACCCTTGACACTACTAATGCTGGCTATGGCCAGGCAGGAAAGTGGAAAGCCCTTGTTGCTAATGCGGACGACAAGAAGTTCAACTTGGATATCTTTCTTGATAGATCTGTTCTTGAGATTTTCGCAGGTGATGGAACCGTGTTTTCGGCCACTGTCTTTCCTAGGTATCAGGAGTCGCAGGATATTAGCGTAGTTGCGAATGGAGGTGCTTTGGCAGTGGAGTCGATTGCGCTTACGCCACTCGGCTCTAGCTGGTGTTGATTCTTACTCCGAAATGGAGATTATCTGTTTTGATAAATCCTGGAATTAAGAACAGTTGCTGAGTGCGGGCGGGAACTTGAACGATGCAATTCGAGCATATTATTACACTAGGCGTTCCTAAAGGCTTGAAGAGAATGTGATGAGCCTCAGAAGAATCGTTTATTGAGTGTTGTCCTCGTGCGGGGCATTATTCCGCAGAGTTACAGCATACAGCGACATTACTAACGCAGTTGTTTCTAAAACACATACAATGGATGACGTTTTCAATTGATAGTGAAGTTATGACAGTAATGACTGACAAACCAAAGCGTAAGGAAGAAAGACAGTAACGCTATGTCTCGGAAGCCCACTGTCAATGATGCACACGCCGACGGGCAGCAATGGGGTAACGAAAGCGGAAAACGAAGGATATGAAACCCTCAGCATGTCCAATTCCAGGCTGGTTGTCTTCATCATGCGACAGAGCGTATTTCAACGGACTGTAAGACGACATTTCCTCCAGTCGTGGATAGAGACAGTCTGTTAGAGCTTTCGCTTGGAAATATCAGGTCCGAAATGACCACTTCGCCAGCTCCCCCAAATACCTCCACCGAACACATGTCTACTAGAACCCGCAGGTGTGCTACATTGTTGGAATCTGGCGAGAATGTCGCTGTGTGAATACCACCGGCCGCCGAGTTGTATGAGATATTGCCACTGGCACGGCGATCAACAGTCAGGGCGCCATTGGATTGAGCATACTGGATGACGGTTTGTTCCGAGTCTCCTTTGCGGACTGCTAGGGATAGGATGGAGCCTTCAGTAGGAACAAAAGAGATGCTGATATCTAACGCAGTTCCGTGATAGTCAGACAAGAGCGTGGTCCCTGGCTCGAGAGTCTGATTTGCTATGTTGCTAAGAGATGTACCGACAGATTCGAGTTCGATGACAGGCTGCTGAATAAAGCGCAACTCGCCACCAATCTCTCGCAGCTGCAAGGTACGTGGGAACGACAGCATGCCCTTCCAAGCATTGGTTGGCGGGTCGACTCCATAGCTGTTCATGACCGAAGCAAGGATCTTACGGCCATCGGACGTGGGCACATTTTCCCAGCTATAAGCGCCATCCCAATCACGCCCAAAATCTAGCCACATGTTGGTTGGATCAACAGGGTCGGAGGTGAAGGTGGCGCCGTCAAACGAGCCAGTGACTGCAAAAACGCCATTGCCACCCGCGGGAGACCCCTGGGCAGGAGTAACTATCAGGACCCATTTAGTGTCTGAAGAACCCTCGACGGGTAGATTAAAGAGATCAGGCACTTCCCAGCCTGTGATACCACTGGGAAGTCCGGGAATACCGTCATCGGTGAGATCGTTATGCCAGGTCCAAGTCTTGGCGTCAGGAGATGTCCAGAATGACAATTTGTTTTGTCCTCCATGGGCGAGGACCATGACCCAAGTTTTTGTTGCAGCGTCAAAGAAGACCTTGGGGTCTCGCGTCTCTAAGCCACCGGTAATGTCGTGCGGTTTCTCCTGTGCCTGCGAGATGATCGGGTTTTCGCTGTACTTGATCCAAGTCTCCCCTTGGTCTAGGCTATAAGCAAGTCTCTGATCCTGTACTCCGGTGTCTGGAAAGTACCCAGTATAAAAGGCAAGGTACGGTGGGTTTTCAGATGTTCCAAGACCAGATGTATTAGCCTCATCAAAGTACGAGGTCCCTGTGAAGGATTGAACCCCATTGGCACTCGAGATTGCGACAGGGAGATGGTTCCAGTCAATCAAGTCAGTACTGGTCGCATGGCCCCAGCTCAGGTTACCCCAAAAGTTTCCGGTGGGATTGTGCTGGAAGAAGAGGTGCCATTTGGAACCGATCTTGATGAGGCCATTGGGTTCATTCATCCAGTTTTGTTCTGGGACGAAGTGATAAAGAGGACGAAAATCGTCAGCTTGAGTGAGGCAAGTGAGAAGAGAGATTAAAGCAAGGCCCACGAACTTCGTAGGATAAGGCATGAACCAGGCCTTGTGACTGAGATATGTAATCATTGTACGTTGCGATGGGTGAAAGTGAATCAAGGCGAAAAGGTTTGGGAGAAGTAAACTAAATGGAAGTTGAGGGATCGTTGTTTCTGTCAAAACGACTCATGGCGGTTGGCCTCGGGACTTATATAGTGTTACAATTCCTCATGGAGCTGTTGAAGTGACTGGAAGGCACTGTCGAATCCTTGCTTCTACCGTGACCATACTCCCCGACCCGCATTCTATCTATCTGGGGTAAAGTCGCCGATCTCTTTTAGCCCCACCAGTGTAATGCAACCGTGCCAAAGCTTTCAAGGATTATTGCAGCTCCCTGCAAGCTACAGAAACAGGACTGGACGGAGAAATGCGGAGAAGCAGGTGGTGGTGCACCACGTGTTGAGTATGTCAAGTACCTAATGCCAAGGAGTACTACCTTGACACGGCTTCTAGGAACGCAATCAAGGCATCCCCGGCCTCGGTCCGACAGATCGAGAAGAGATCATAATCTAATCGGGCGTCGGTTACTAAATGACTGATATCTTCATATGGAGACATTGGGAGAGAGCACGGTTTGAGTTTTAACTTGTATACCAGGTGCTGATAGGGGCTTCGTGTATAAATAGTGAAAAAGAACGAGCCGATATCAGCCTGCGACGCGAGGTTTCCGAGACATCGGATAATTACGAGATCCATAAGCGGCGTTACAGAAAAGTCAGAACGGGCTGTTTCAACTGCAAGAAACGTCGTGTCAAGGTAAGCACTTTATATGGGTGGGTTCAGATGGCTATTCAGTCCCACCATCCCACCGTATTGCCTCTAAGACACGCAATATGTATCAAGCCTCTAGGGTCCGCGGACCAAGCTTGGTGCATAGTCTTGTAGTACTAACATTCATGCTTGCCTTTCCGGCAAAAGTGTAGCGAGGAGAAGCCAAACTGCAGCGCCTGCGCCCGCCGAGGCGTATCATGCAATTATCCCCCACTTGTTCATAACAAGGTCGCGGTATCACCAGTGCCTTCAACCTCGCCGTCGACCCAAAGCGTCACCATATTAACATCGACTCCGCATCTTACCACAACAGACCACCCTTGTTCACAGCAACATGGTCCCTTTACTTCTTCCAACTCTTTCGCACCCGCCTCTATAGCCTCACCGGCCCCCAGTAGATCGGATGTCCTCTTTTATCTACACGACATGACGCTACTCCACCACTGGACCGCGTCCACCAGCCAGCAGGTAGCAAAAGACAAGGAGATACGCAACTTTTGGCAGAACACAGCCACGAGCGTCGCCCTTCAGCATCTATATGTTCTCCAAGAAATCATGAGCGTGGCCGCTTTGCATCTTGCATATCTCTCCCAATCAGAAAAGTCCACGTACATGGAAATTGCCTCGGAGCACCACATCAGGTCGCTTCAGGGATTGCATACAGCCGTCAGCAAGTGCAGAAACGACATTGAGCAAGGATCTACGGTATTTCTCTGAAGTTTGCTGAATATGTTCTACGTGTGTTTAACTCTAGGGCGCCTCGGTTGTAGCAGCGATATTTGCATTGAAGATCATAGGGATCGTGTATTAGGCACCGTTTGGATCCGTCTGATACGGGGCATTAAGTCGGTTATAGAGGACAATCGGCCTGCTGTTGAGAGCGATAATTTTAATGCCATCGTAAGCATTGGGAACTGGCGGAGTCTTGATTCTAATAAAAGTATGGGCGAGGAAGCCGAGTACTTCAGCCGGCTTGCCGAGTTATGGAAAAAAGCAATGACAAAAAAGCTTACGACGAGGCTCTCGATGTTCTGCGGAGATGCCATGCTCTCATCACTCAATTTGAGATGACGGATATCGAGCAGACAAATCAGTGGCCAAGTAACAAAAAAGAAAATGGTCCCTTGCTGTTAATATTTGTTGTTCCAAGCCATTATTTTGAGCTTCTCCAGAAACGCCAGCCAGCGGCACTTGTGTTATTTTCCTTCTTTGGGGCCTTATTACATATGTATAGGAAGAGAGGGTAAGCTCTATTAGAGTAAGTAGTTAGGGTGAGGGAAATTAAAAGTTAGTAAAAGAAAAGGTTAAGAGTTGTGTTGTGACGGGGATAAAAGGCACACTACGGAGGATGTGCAGGGTAGGAAAGTCACGCGGATTCTTGTTGATGGCAGGTAAAAGGGGACAGGCTTCTCTTAGTGCTGCAGATTATGCTTTTATGCCTTTTATATATGCTTTCTTATACGTTTTTAATAGATTTTTGACACTCTTGATTTTAAATTTAAGGGCTTGCCTCTGCAATTTCTGATACTATCATTTAATCACCTTGATTATCTGTTTTATAAAGAAAATCCCGTCTTAACTAAACTTGTAATTCCGGTGGAAATTAAGTCTCAGAAGGTCAGGCATTCCACCTGCCTATGTATGACTTTTCGGTGGTGTGCTGTTTGCACCTTCAAAATAATATCAATAGGTATGTCTTATCACATGTATCGACACCCTTTATAACACATAGCGACACGCAGCGACCTCCCAGTCAGTCTTATCCTCCATCAGTAAGATTTGACGTTGCACTGCACCTGTCTCCTCTGATGAGTTCCGGTCTCGCTTTTTGTTTTGCCAAGTAAGGTAGATACGGAGACACAATACCCAAAAGGTCGCAAGTGCAAGACCGATGAGGCTGGCCTTGATACCCTTTGGATAATTTGGAGCGTCATGGACATTGAAGAACTGGGGACCTACAATGTTTCCTGCACTGTACATAATCAACACGCAAGCATTGACCACGGCCCTCTTGGTGAATCCAGCAAGGTTACTGGTAATAAGGCACATGGCCAATGGCATGTTTGCGGAGAACGCCAGACTCAAACAAAACCCAGCCAGACGGCCAGACTGGTTGGTTGAGTCAAGAGCATACATGAGGACCATGCCGATAAGGCTGATTATGGTGAGACACATCATCATGATCGTGCGAATATTGGGAAGCAAAGAGCAAAGAGTGCAGCTGATAACGACAAAGCCGAGCTGCGCCGCCCCTGTGGGCATCTGGATAAGCAGTGCCTGAAGGCCCTTGTATCCAAAGCCTCTGATAACAAGTGAGCCAAACGCGGTCAAGCCGCCGTTAGCGATGTTGGTGCAGAAGGTGTAAAGACACAAGAACCAAGTCACAGGGTCCTGCAGGGCTTCCAAGGCTTGATGCATCTTGAACGATCCTTTGCTGCTTCCTTGAGTGTCAGCCTGAATCCGATATGCGGCCGTCTCGCGCTGTGCACTTGACAGCCAGATTGCGTCGGATGGAGAATCTGGAAGCAGCACGAGCATGAAAATGCCCCACGCGGTTGTGACGGCGACAAGGATAATAAACAGATATCGCCAGGTCGGCAAGTCACCTTCAAGATGACCGATCGCATACGCAATCAGGCCTCCAAACAAGGTGGCCACCGGGCCGCCACAGAACCACAAACCGTAGCGAAGAGGCTGCTCCCGACGAGTATACCACATTCCCATGACGAGAGAGAAGCCCGGCGCCAGGGCCGCTTCGAACGCACCGAGGAAAAATCGGGTGATCATGAGGCCCAAGAAGTTATGGCAGGCACCATGACACATGAGAACGATGGCCCAGACGATGCTATGAAGCTGTTAGATGAGATCAAAGTCAGAAACGGGAAAATAATACATACACGGTTCCCGCAAGGTATTTGCCAATAGGCAGGCGCGCAGCCAGGAACGCGGTCGGGTAGGACCAGAAAATATATCCAAAGTAGAAGATCGAGGCGACCCATGAGTACTGAGAGCCCTGGAGCTTGGTGTCCGGGATCATGCCCAGCAAGGAACTATAGCTAAGGGACTGCTTGTCAAGGAATTGCAGGAAGTAGCTGACTCCGAGCAGAGGAAGCATCATCAAGTCGATCTTCCACCGCGCTCGGCGAACTTCCTCGGATTGGAGGTCAATAACGACATTGTTCTGCACACCAGTCTTGTTGACGTAATCCGCCTCGAAAGTCGGGGACTGTGTCTCGCTGGGTTTGGAAGACTCCATGGAAGAATAGATTGAGATGAGAAGTAGTAGTGTATAAGAATCGTGAAAGTTGCTAATGATCCAAGCAATAAAGGAGGAGCCAGAGCCCTTCTATTTAACATTTTCATGGCATATTGACTGTGTCAATGAGCACTTGTACGCATTTTGAAAACCTACCAATCGAGCATATCTGTCTCAATGTGGGGAAGCTTATGGTCTCCGGCATACCCCGGAAACAAGAGTGGATTTTTACCCCAGAAAAAGTGCGGCGCAAATGTATATGATTGGGTTGGGAATGATGGTAGCTAGGCGAAATCAGGCATGGATTAAGGTGGTGGCAAGGACAGTGTCTTGCAGCTATTGCTATTAGAGGAGAATATTTCACCCTAAGACAACAACGTCCTAGCCCCTACAAAGCTGTTCCCTTGGACGCAACAAAATCGTCCTTTACATTCTGATAAAACTCATCATCCACAAGAACCATCCACCCAGTCATAGCCAAAGCTTTGCCTGCCGTGATTGTCTGCCGATGCGCCTCTTGGGTTCCCGCAGCCGTAGTGAATTGCCGCGTGTGGTTCTTGGCACCATCGCGGACCGGGATACCGACAAGGGCGTGGAGTGCCGGCATGATTTGCGAGACATTGCCCTGGTCAGTAGATCCAGACATCAGCACCTTGTCGAGATCCAACAGCTGCTCACCCTGATCCGCCATGCACTCCTGAAACCCTTTGCACAATGGCTTGTTTACTACCAGATCCGCGAAGATCTGAGACGACTGAATCTCCAGCTCACATCCAGAGGCCAATGCACCTGCCTCCAGGCATTTCTCGACACGGGCACCCAGCGCCTTGACCCTGTTGATGGTGCGACTGCGAACGGTATATTTAGTCTGAGTGGTCTCAGGAATGGCGTTGGTGATGCCTGGCGCTTGGAGGATGGCTCCATGGACTCTCTCGTCAGGATGCAGCTGCTGACGTAGCATTGAGATGTTATTATAAGCGCCTACGAGAGCGTCGAGCGCATTTACGCCTTGCCAAGGACTAGCACTGGCATGCGCGCTGACCCCGTGAAATGTAGCGACAATGTCGTAGCACGAGATAGAGGCTCGACCTGCGATGCCAACAACATTGGGGTCTGGAAACTCATCGACTGAGAAGGGATGCCTGTTTGAATGAGTTTTTGTTCCAGGAATGGAGGCGCAGGGAGCTCTCACATCATCAATGAGACGTCCACATTGTCATATGCTCCCTTGCGGATCAGATCGATCTTTCCTCCACCATCCTCCTCCGCAGGCGTACCCAACAACTGTGCCTGGCCCAGAAGCCCGAACTTCCGGATCAGAAAGGCAAGGGCCATAAAACCGGTAAGGCTTGCCGTGGCGATGAGATTGTGGCCACATGCATGTCCAATATTTGGCAAAGCATCATATTCAGCATTGAAACTGACGCAGCGACCGGATTCGCTGCCGGCAATAGCTTCGAACGCAGTGCTGAGGCCATGCGCGTGGCGGGTTACGGGGATGTCGTGGGCCTCAAGAAACTCGCAGATAGCATCATGAGCATGGTGTTCTTGATATGCCAGCTCTGGGTTTCGGTGAATCTGTTGATTTGGTTAGGTCGATGAGTCTCTCAACAAATCTGACTAATGCTATAGGCACCTGTTGATTCAACGCCCAGAGAGAGGAATCTAGTGTAGCGATGTATTCATCGACAGCACGCTGAATATCTTGCTTAGCGAACACCGTCATGGTTGATTCTTCCTTTGTTTCGATGATTTGCTAAGCCTCTGGAATTACGTCTCTCCTTTAATGCTGCTCACACGTTAGCGTGCTTTATCATGAACAACACTCATCTCGGCGCAAAAGTGCATGATTGGGTAGACCAGTCTCTAATGGTCTGGGGATATTGGCCCCACCCTAATAAGTAACTTTTGGAAAGTGAAGTCAAGCTATATCTCCTCGGCGGCGCAAATGTTTCTGATTGCCCGCAACAGTTTCGCGGGGTAAGTGCCAGGGCCCAACTCGGAAACCAGAGTCGGTAAATTAGTCCTCTGCCAGATGCCGCGACAAGTGGGAGGACTACTCTGTAACTCGGTATATTAATGAGAAACTCGCCATATCTTCTGTCTCGGATTAAAAGTACAACTCAATTTTCACCCTTCTCCCTGTTGTTATCATGCCTGCTTTCACCTGGCAACAGAAGGCCTCGGCCAAGCAAACCGAAGCCAAGGCAAGAATTCCTGCGGAATGGCACTTGCCGGCAGAATTGCCCCAGAAGACCTCTCGTGATAAGCTCTCAGTCTTGGATATCCCCAAGACATGCGGCCTCCTCACTGACCGAGAGCTTTTTATCACAGAGAGCTTTGATGCTACGGCACTACGCGACAAGCTCGCTCCAGGAGAATTTAGTGCTGTCGAAGTGGCCACTGCCTTTTGCAAGCGTAGCGCTATTGCGCAGCAACTCACATGCTGCTTGACCGAGACCATGTTTCCTATGGCCCTGGCGCGAGCCCAACAACTAGACGAGTATCTGGCTCTTCACGGCAAACCCGTAGGACCCCTACACGGAGTGCCCATCAGTCTCAAGGAAACGTTCAACGTGAAGGGAGTACCGTCTTCTCTTGGGCTGGTATCGTTTCTAGGACATGAACTAGCCACCAAAAACTCAGTGTTGGCCGACATCCTACTGGCTGCGGGTGCCGTGTTCTACGCTAAGACAAATGTACCCCAAACCATGATGACGGCCGATTCTCATACCAACGTCTTTGGTCGAGTTCTGAACCCCATCCATCTCAACCTCACAGCCGGCGGCAGCAGTGGTGGTGAGGGGGCACTGGTGGCCATGCGCGGATCTATTTTGGGTATAGGAACAGATATTGCGGGCTCTATCCGCATCCCTGCCTTGTGCTGCGGCATATTTGGCTTCAAGCCTTCCGTGGGTCGCGTGCCTTACGCCAAACAAGCCAGCGCAGGCCGTCCCGGCATGACTGGTATTGCCCCCGTGGCAGGTCCGCTGTGTCACTCCGCCCGAGACGCAGAGCTGCTACTAAAGGTCGTTTTTGATGCTCATGCAGATGACATGGACGACAACGCTCTTGGCCTCGCCTGGAGCGATCCAGCACCTCGATCCAGCGACACCCTTACCGTCGGCCTCTTCCCTGAGGATCCCAAGACTCCTCTCCATCCCAATATGCAGCGCGTGCTAGAAGAAGCTGTAGGGAAGCTCAAGGCAGCGGGGCATCGTATCGTGGACATTTCTTGCAAACTCCCTTCTCTGACAGATGCAGCTGATATTTCGTTTAAATTCTTCCGCATCGACCCAGACAAGACTGTTTTAGGCCATGTCTCCAAGAGCGGCAAACCTTTCATCCCATCGCTTCGGTTTACCTACGATTTGACCGGCAATGAACCCGAGCCTACCCTTCGTGGGCTCTTCGACCTTAATGCGGCGCGAGCTGAGATCACAGGCCAGATGCGAAAGGTCTTCGTTGACAACAAACTAGATGTGATTCTAGCACCAGGATACCAATCCTGTGCTGTCCCGCATGACAGCTTCGGGGTCCCAGTATACACGGTGATTGGGAATATGATCGACGTATGATTCTAATGATAATTTCTCAGAAGGTCATGCTGACTGCTCGTTTTAGTACCCTGCCTGCGTTATCCCATTCGGGCACGCCAATGAGGTTGCCGATGCCAAATTCGTGCGAGACGTTACCTATGTTCCGAACTGTGAGTTATTTTCCATCGATGTTCAAAATTTAGGTAGCTAATGGTTCATATAGATCTTCCTAAGGAGGTGGAAGGCGCCCCATGCCATGTGCAGCTCATTGGTCGTCGACTGAAGGATGAAGAATTGATGAAGCATGCTAAGGTGGTTGAGCAAGTGTTGTCCAAATGAAATCGTTAACATTAGTCAAAGCTGCAATCATCTTATCAGCCTGAGATTTGTTACTAGACACATTCCTTGCCAATTTGGGACCCTCCAACTAGAATCCGTAGTCCCCTTCTTGTCATCATAGCCCTGTCACCTTGGGGCAAGTCCCAAATATATCGTAACCATTTTTGTGTTCGGGTAACAAGCCCATGTCTTCTGCGAGCTAACTCATCAATCTTGGCCTTGACCAAGCGGCGGGTCTGAGAATCCACTGCAATGGAACCTAGGACGGTCAAGGGCCAGAGCAAGTATGCGAGAAGATTGCTGTGTGTATCGAGAGCATACAGGATAGATGATCCATCTTGCAGAACACGGTATACTTGCTCCATAACCTCTGATTCTGGAACAATGGGATGCACCTTCAGGAGCATAATATGCATGGCCTCGAAGTGTAGCTGATAGGCATCGTGGCTTGTAGTCTGCTTGAACTCCAGTAGCTGGTAGTTGAGTTCCTTCCACGTCTCAACTTCACCCTCGTTCAGGGGGCGAGTGACACGAGCAAGCCGAGTCACACCAGCAATGAGAAGGAACAGATTGTATGGTGCATCGAGAACTGGCTGAGTCTTCTTGTTCGGCCAGACCTCTGTTTCAGGTTGCGAGTTTGAGAAGTATCGGGTCCAGTTCAGGGTGTAGCCAGTATTTGCCAGGGCATCCAGAGACGGGTTGAACAACATCATAAGCGAACTATGATAGAGGAAGGATTCTGCGCAGAGCCGTTCGAACACAGTGACCGACCGAGGATTAACTTGAGTTTCGGCGTGGTCTCGTTGAGTGAGCAGCGCACCAGTAGCTGTTAGGTGTAGGTTGAGATTCAATTGTGTATCAGATCGGAGATTCTTGAAATGTGACGACGTTCAGCGTCTCAAGGCCTAACCAAACAGGAAGAATGAAATCAACTCACCTCAAACACGCATAAGAAAACGGTCGTTGCTAGCAAGGCATCGTCATTCCCTGCGTTTGCCGCACGCGCTATCCGAGCCCGCAGATTGTGCAGAGAAAACTGGTAACTCTCCATAGCCAATCGGTCATAGCGTGGCGTTTCCTTATCAAATGCAGCAACAGCAATTATGACTGCCATTAAAGGAGGGCAAACATATGCCAGTCGGAGCATATACTCGTGATTGAAATACTCAGGGCGACATTCCCGTCGGACTATCCGTGGACAGATTGAGTCGACAAAATGCGACAACAAAGCGACATAGTCGGCGTGTTGCAGAGACAAGCCGCTCAATACTTCAGGGAGACTCGGCTGACTCTTCCATGACAAGGGGGCTCGACGGCGGTCGGCAATCAGGTCCGCGGCTGTGGGCCAGGTTCACTCGAGGCCATTGCGAATGCATCCCTTGCACTGGGGCTTGACTTCGTCGCACTTCTTGCGGCGTTTGCGACCTGAATACGGCGAGTTATAAAGGGAGAGGAGTAAGCGAACAGACATTTCACTCACATTTCAGGCATCCGGTTTGTGTACGAAGCCTAGCCTTGGATTGGATAGGAGATGCCATGGTGGAATGCTCCAGTCGCGAGGGCACTTTGCATTGCTGCCTTGCTCAATACAACCTAAGCTATGGAGGGACGTAGAGCGGAGAAGGATTTAGAAAGGGGGGGTTCAGGGGCGAATTATATTAGTAATTAGAAGGCTAAGGCGGCATAACTACGGAAACTTGGCCCCCGCTCCTTAGTATACTAACCTAATAAACTTAAAAGTAATAACTAGTACAAAAGTAGTTAATATTATTCCAGATAAAAGTACTCTACTATGTTATATGATATAAAAGCGGCCTACCCTATAGTACTTTAAACCTTAAATAACATAACGTACACGATAAGCATGCCGATCAGACAAGCATGCCGATCAAAAATCTCAACCTTCTTTAAATAAATCGCAATAAAAGCACCATAAACCATCTAATTAATTGATTCTAGTTACTATACTCATCTCCAGAGGCCTCAATTCCCTCCTGACAGGTTCTTGCATTATGTCCGGTCTTAC